TAGGTTGCATTTTAGTGACATTTTAAGCACTTTTTTTTTTTTGCTGGATTAGCTTGTCGGATGGTCATCATAACCACACTTTTATATGTACCAAAAACATTTCCTAAAGGTTTAGAATGAAGAAATATAAAAACAATACTTATTTTTTTAAATGCAAATTTATTACATCATATATCAGTAGAAAAAAATAGGAATCTGTTAAAGTTTTCACTTACAAACTAGCATTTTGTCATTTAAATATCATTAATTTAAATAACAAACAGGCCAGCACATTCAATTTTCCAACAGAGGATTATGCTTGGTGTTAAAGCCTTCTTCAGTGAGTAATTTTCATAATTTAGTGAGGCATAGCAGTCAAAATGGGACAAATTAGCTTATATATGGGACAAATTCTGGACCTTTGTCAATGAGGAGTTGGACTTTCGAACCACCCAAACCCACCCTGCTACTTTTCGTTGAATGGACATTCTGAGATTTTTAAACCTTAGTTTAACATCTCATCTGAAACTAAGCAGTACTGAAAAACTGAGTCCCCATCAATATACTGGGGCATTAGGACCAACAGAGACTGCAAGTTGAGCACCCCCTGCTGGCCTCACTATCACCACTTCCAACAGCAACCTAGCTTTCCTATGTGGTCTCCCATCCAGTACTGACCAGGCTCAGCCCTGCTTAGCTTCACTGGGCTGAGAGCTAGCTGTGGGTAGCAAACTGCCAGTACATTTTCTCTCATTTTACAAACTTATTTCTCTGTATATATTTATTTCTTATATGTTAAATTATTCAAAACTACTAAAATGTCAATTAAAGTCGCTTCGTTAAACTGTAGAGTTGAATTTTCAACATCAAAAGTTGACAGAGTAGAGATCAACATCCCATAATGCAATTCACAACCATACATAGACGTAAAACTTTTGTGAATCACAAAATACACAAACTGTAAATGAACAGATATTTTTACAGTGCGGTATATGCATATTTGAGTATGGGAGAATGATTTTATTTTACTTTTTATTTCTCAGGGTGGTGATATTTTTTAAATTTGCCTAAATGTGTGGAAAAATAAAAAGAGACCACTTGACTTGACAACTTTTAGTTTCTCTGAAGTAGCTAAAAACGCTCACCTTTAAAATTGTATTCTAAAATTTAATATAAATATCTGAAAACATGGTGCTTTTTTCATTTTATGCCAAAAAACATTAGTTTTATGGAACATTTGGGCAAAATGTCAACAGTAGTTAACAGAATAAAACAAAAGCAACGTTTTACTAAAAGACATTATTGTTTTATTGAGAGAGTTGTAGTTTTTCTCAGGGTATTACAATTGTTAGTGTCAATAGAAAAGAACTACTAAATAAAACACACACACATATATACACTCATCGGCCACTTTATTAGGTACACCTGTCTAACTGCACCTTAACACAAAATTCCAGCAGCCAATCACATGATGGCAGCAACTCAATGCATTTGAGCATGTAGACATGGTCAAGACAATCTGCTGCAGTTCAAACCGAGCATCAGTATGGGGAAGAAAGGTGATTTAATTGAGTTTAAATGTGGCATGGTTGTTGGTGCCAGACAAGCTGGTCTGAGTATTTCAGAAACTGCTGATCTAATGGGATTTTCCTGCACAACCATCTCTAGTGTTAACAGAGAACAATCCGAAAAAGAGAAAATATCCAGTAAGCGGCAGTTCTGTGGGTGTAAATGCCCTGTTGATGCCAGAGGTTGGAGGAGAATGGCCAGACTGGTTCCAGCTGATAGAAAGGCCACAGTAACTCAAATAAACACTCGTTACAACCGAGGTCTGCAGAAGAGCATCTCTGAACACACAACACGTCCAACCTTGCGGTGGATGTGCTACAGCAGCAGAAGACCAAAACGAGTGGCACTCCTCTAAGCTACAAACAGGAAACTAGGCTACATTTCGCACAGGCTTACCAAAATTGGACAATAGAAGATTGAAAAAACGTTGCCTGGTTTGATGAGCATCGATTTCTGCTATGACATTCGGATGGTAGGGTCAGAATCAGGGGCAGACTGGCCATAGGGAGCACCAGGACATTTCACTTTGGCCTGACGGTCAATCTGGCCTGCACCCGCGAGTCTGGCCTGCCACGCCTCTTTAACCCCCCAGCCCCGCTCTTCACTTTATAGATCGCATCGGATGTGGCCTGGCAGCACGACTCCAGCCTGCACAACAACCCCAACAACCGTCCACATGCTAGATGGCATCGGATGTGACCTGTCTAACTGTAACATTGTCCTGGTGGAAAATGCTTTCCCAGTCCGCCCCTGGTCAGAATTTGGTGTCAACAACATGAAAGCATGGATCTATCCTGCCTTGCCTTTCATCAACGGTTCAGGCTGATAGTGGTGGTGTAATGGTGTGGGGGATGTTTTCTTGGCACACTTTGGGCCTATTAGTATCAATTGAGCATCGTCTCAATGCCACAGCCTACCTGAGTATTGTTGCTGACCATGTCCATCCCTTTATGACCACAGTGTACCATCTTCTGATGGCTATAACATGTCACAAAGCATGAATCATCTCAGACTGGTTTCTTGAACATGACAATGAGTTCACTGTACTCAAATGGCCTCCACAGTCACCAGATCTCAATCCAATAGAGCACCTTTGAGATGTGGTGGAACAGGAGATTTGCATCATGGATGTGCAGCTGGTAAATCTGCAGCAACTGCATGATGCTATCATGTCAATATGGACCAAAATCTCTGAGGAGTATTTCCAGCACCTTGTTAAATCTATGCCACTAAGAATTAAGCAAAAGGGGGTCCATCCTGGTACTAGTAAGGTGTACCTAATAAAGTGGCTGGTGAGTGTGTTGTATATATATATATATATATAAAGTGTGAAAAGTGTGTATGCATAATAAGCAGGAAAAGTGATAAAACTCACTAGTAGTTCAGCTTTCTACGTCACTACAGTGTATTTTATTGAGTGTCTTCAAATGCAACCTTCTATGAGCATTTTATGAAATGTTCACCTATTATTCATGCACACAAAAGAAAATGTATACAAAGAAGAACCGCAGACTTCCTGTAGCTCATTGTTGTGACGCCTCGCATTCGGTTAGTAAGGCAACACCGCCCTCTGCCAACTGAACAGCGCGCTGTCATTGGACTCCGCTACAGCCACTGCCTGCCAATCACCAGCTAAGCCCCGCCTACCACCAGCCGCCAAGGTGAAGCGTAGAAGGAATACAGCTGCGGATTCTCATGTTAATTTTTGTGACACAACAATAAATAATAGATTTTTTATATTACTGTGAGAGTTAGGTTTAGGGTTGGGGTAGACGTTAATAAAATACAATAATGGGTATTTTAATAAGCATTAGGCCCTGTGTAATTACTGTTTTACATTACTGTTAAGGTTGGGTTTAGGATTGTCATCGGGTAGACATTAGAAAAATACAGTTTAATGGCTATTTTAATAAATAATATGAATAATACTCTGTATAAATTCTGCTTTACATTACTGTGTGATAGTTGGTTTAGGGTTGGAGAGCGGGTAGACGTTAATAAATACAATTTAATGGGTAATTTTATAATAAATATTACTGTTTTTATATTACGGTGCTGATTGGGTTTAGAGTTGGGGTAGGGGTAGACGTTAATAAATTCAGTTAATGGATATTTAAATAAAAAATATAAATAATTCTCTTTAACTTTCAGCTGCAGCTGTATCCCTTCTGGCAACCTCCAGCCTCCCTTGCAGCCGCTTCCTGTCAATCAGCCACCAAGCTCCTCCCATCGCCAAATTTTGACTGTAAACATCCCGCCGAGAGCGCGCGCCATCTTTGTCGGATTCAATGAGAGGAAACGGTTGCTAACTTCTCTCCGTAGGAGGGGAGAGAAAAGACTGATCACGAACAACACGGATAAGATATTTTGAATGGTACGTCCCGAAAAATTCGTGTTTTTGTGGATAAATGAGATTGAGAAAGGGGATGTGCGAGCAGGGGGATGAAATTTGACGCTCGCGCTGCTTACGTGCTGCGGCTAATCAACAGTTGGCTAAGGCTAATTGCTAACGATAGCTTACGAATTATTTGGCTCTGAAAGCGTTATTAAAATGACTGAATAACCAATTTATGGCGTTTAAAAGATCAACGCGAGTGAGATAAAATTAAGTTACATCGTTTACACTCTATATGTTCTAGAAATTATTTTTTTAAAAGCGAAATAGCGTCGCTTGCTAATCAGCTGCTTAGCCAAACGCTAGTGTGGACACAAACGCAACAGTTCTGCATGTTTAAATCGAGCTGCTTGTTTATACGTTTGCATGTTTAGTTTTCTTATCTTGTTTTTATAAAATTTAGAACAATTGTTTTGGATAATGCACTTCATTAAGGGCGTAAAAGTGTGGTTTAGCTAATTTTCTTCATGGTATAATGCTGGTGTGAAGGCGGGCAATTCTTCAAAATAAACCAACTAACGTAACGTTAGCATCTCGGCTAGCTTTAAGAAGTAGCTTTGATGTCTTTTATAAGATAATTTTGTATTTAATAGGCTTATGATTGATTGTTTTGTGTTAGATGTGGTACGAATGCCCTTGATTGTGCAGTTCTATGGTCTTGTCTAAATGCACGTGCACTTTATTGCCATATTGTGTATATATATCTGCATTTTGTAGATTGATCTGCATTAGATCTTATGCATGCTGTTTTGTTGTCTTGTATAAAAATGCATGTGCTTGTAGATGTATAGGGTTTAGATATGGTCAGTTGCATTTTATCTCTTCTCATAATTTGCTGACTTATCCATCATATGCATCTTCTAGTCTAATGGATCTGGTGTCCGCGGGGTCTTAATTTTCAAAAACTAAATTATAGACTTTTAAATAGTCTTTAATTTGCGTAATTACTGTGTTGTAGGTCTTTGATAATTTTTAATAAGTCTAAATTTACCTATGTCCTTGTAAAGTTACCCTATCAGGAAAAGACCCAACCAATCACCAGCAATACATCTCAATAAAACTTTTTACAAAAAGATTTTTTAACACTATCTAGCACGTGCACTTTATTGGCATATTGTAGATTGATCTGCATTAGATATGGTGTACGTTATGCAGTTTTGTTATATATATGTTGTCTTTTAATTTAATAACTTATCCATCACAGGCATCTTCAAGTCTAATGGATTTTATACATCACTGTAGTCTGAAAAGGGTGTCTGCGGGGTCTTACATTTCAAAAACTAAATTTTGGGCCTTTATAAAGTCTTAAATTTGATAAAGTATTGTGTTCTAGGCCGGTATAAGTTTGTGATGGTATAATTACCTTGGATAAAAATACCATGGTTTAACGTTATTGTGACTATTGCTCTAAAATTAGTTGTTTTTTAATGTCTGGGTAAAAAACAACACATTTTCCCCATTGAACACAGTATACAGTATTTTATTTCACAATTTGCTATTCACATTTATAACATTTTGGAGCAGTAAACATGTCAGGCTAATAATTAAAAGAAATCATTAACTTCTACGGTCTTCATTAGTTTATAAAACAGATATTTCTTTACAACACTTTAAAAAACCTTTACATATACCTTAAGAACGGTGTAACAAAGTTTTCGCAGTTTTTAAAATCTTGACTTTTCCAAATCGCGGTAAACATTAAAACCGGTTATCGTCATGCTTAGATGTAGGTCTAAAATAATTTTGAATAGGTCTTAATTTTCCCATGTCCATGTAAAGTTACCCAATCGGGCAAGGACCAATCCAATCACCATCAATACGTCTCAATAAAACTTATAACAAAAAATTATTTATTAACTCTATTTACCAATATGGTTTTATTACCTTCCCTAGAATACATTTTATTTTTAAATGTAACTTAATCCTTTTACAAAGATTGCTAACCATTAAGCCCTTTTGTGAGTCTGAAATTGTATTTATAATGGTCTTAAAAAGTCTTAAATTTGTCTTAAATCCTTGCTGGAGTTTTAAATAATTCTGTTTTCTTCCAGGTGTAGTGGAGAGATCTCAGATCTTTGACCAGACACCGGGGCAATGTTTTACGCCCACTTCGTCCTCAGTAAACGTGGGCCGCTAGCCAAAATCTGGCTGGCGGCCCATTGGGACAAAAAGCTGACCAAAGCGCACGTCTTTGAATGCAATCTAGAGAGCAGCGTGGAAAGCATCATTTCCCCAAAGGTGAGTGTTTAACACTGGTTGTTGCATGATGTTGTGTGTAGGCATGGGTCAGTATACAATTCTGATGCTATGATAATCTTGGATAAAATATAACAGATTCACTGTATCGTGATTACTGCTCTAAAATATATTTTAAGTGTCTGTGTAAAAAAAACCATTTTGGAGCGATAAACATGTCAGACTAAATAATGAAAATAAATAATGGACTTCTGCAGGCTTCTTTACAATTTAAAATGACATTTTTGGATATCTTTTTTGCTGTAGATGCTGTTGTACTTAAAAAAAAAATCTTACATACACCTTAGGAATGGTATAGCAGGAAAGTTTGACCGCTTTAAAAACCTTGACTTTTCTAAAATGCAGTGTACCCGTGTCTAGTTGTGTGTGTGTTTGTGGACGTTAAATCTCTTTTAATACTCGACTGTATAGGTGAAAATGGCTCTGCGTACATCTGGTCATCTTCTCCTGGGCGTGGTGAGGATCTACCACAGAAAAGCCAAATATCTTCTGGCTGATTGTAATGAGGCATTTATCAAGATCAAAATGGCTTTCCGCCCAGGTATTGTATCAAAACATGAGTTACAATAATTTGTTTTTATTATCGTCTAGCTTTGCCTGCTTGTATTTACTAGTTTGGGTCGGTTTTAGGTGTCGTTGATCTGCCAGAAGACAACCGTGAGGCAGCATACAATGCCATCACCTTGCCAGAGGAGTTCCACGATTTTGACCAGCCTCTTCCTGATCTTGAGTAAGTCATGCATGTTGTTTTATGTTTTAGGTGCAAGTTTTGGTCTGCTTTAGGATGTGGGAACGTATTAAATGTTTGCACGGCAAATTTGATTAGTCTTCAGTGGTCCTTGATTTGGTTTTCATGTATATTTATGCACAAATGACTTCTTCTGAATGTGATTTTTGATTCTAACATTTGTATTTCAGTGATATTGATGTAGCACAGCAGTTCACCCTGAATCAAAGTCGTGTTGAAGAGATCACCATGAGGGAGGAAGTAGGAAACATCAGCCTCATGACTGACAACGACTTTGGTAAAACCTGAAAGAAGCATTTCATTTTTATATTTCATTTTATTTAAGACTTTTTTATTTCGGGTAGTAGCCAAGGTTTTTTTCCCCTCATTTTAATTTAGTTTAAATTAAATGTAAATTAACTTGTGGTAAAATAAAAAAAATAATGTAAACCATATGATCATGAAAAATGTAAACTAATGACAAAACCCCTTTAAATTTTTATAAGCGATAAAAGTGAGCAGAAAAATAGATGCTAGTTTCAATCGTTAGGATTTTTATAAACTACAATAGTTGCTTAACTTTAAACGTAACCTTGAGTAGGGGAGCATGGTATTTTTAGGCACGATATAAAAGTTGAATAGCTTTGAAAAAAAGTGACTACAATTTTACACTGTTATAAAATTGTGATAGATTATTCTTGTTTATAAGTCTAGTCTGGCCATCATTTTGTGGTTATGAAATTTAAATGTAATTTAAAGGTGTACAGAAAATATAAAAATAGATTCTAGTTCAAACTGTTATTATGATTATAAGAAACTATAATAGTTACTCAACTACAGTGAAACACTGAGTAGGAAAGCATATTTTTAGGCTAAAGTTGCTTAAATGACTTGCTTTGAATAGAATAAGTGACTGCAATTTTACGTTGTGATATAAAATTGTGATTTTTTTATGCTTGTTTATAAGTCTAGTTTGGCCAACATATTATGGTTATACATTTTAAAAGAGTTCAAATGTGAACCCAAAATATAAAAATAGGTGCTAGTTTAAATCGTTATTTTGATTTTTAAAAACTACAATAGGTAAAAGTGTAACACTGAGTAGGGAAGCATATTTTTTTGGCATAATAAAAAGGTTTGGCTTTGGATAAAAAAGTGACTTCAGTTTTATGTTGTGAAATAAAGTTGGGATTTGTAATGCTTGTTTTTAAGTCTAGTTTGGCCAACATATTACTGCCAGGCTGCTCTTACTATCAAACACATTCTGTAGGATTGTACAAGTTTGAATACAATTAGACAAAATGTTTAAAGTAGAGTACTTCGGACATTTTTAAAAAGGTACTACCAGGAAGAATCTTAAATTATTTATCAATCATTGAACTTTAAAAAAAAGTTTGAACATTGAAAATTATGTTTAACTTTGAAAAATAAATTTTGTGTGAATTTTATTTATTTATAGTGTATATATTTATTCAAGTAACTTTTTTTTAATAGGATTTTGTGTACAATAATAAAAAATGTTTTTATTGTGTAATATTTTATTTATATCGAGAGTTAGAATCACAAATTGCATGTTCTACAACACTTAATATCACTAATGTCCTACCAGGTGACTTCGGCATGGATGATCGCGAGATGATGAGGGAGGAGAATGCTTTTGGAGACATCATCCATGAATCGTCTGCTGCCAATCTTCTTCTGGAAGCTGAACCTGGTCCTGCTCACCTCCCTGACAAAACACCCAACCTTGACTATGATGACTTTGGAGACAACAACCTGGAGAACAGCGATGGCGGAATTTTAAGTGAGTACAGTTGATCTTTAATAGTTTGTATGATGATAATGAGGTACTAATCTAAGTTTGTGCTACATTTCAGTGGACAAGATCCTAAGCAATGAGGATGGCGGTGGTATATTTGATGATCCTCCAGCTATCACTGACAGTGTGATGATGCCTCAAGACCATGGAGATGATGATGACGACTTTGATAACTTTTCTCGTAAGTAAATCCAATTCCTTGTTTCTATAAATTGACTAAACCCTTTTCTTTTTTGCTGCAATCGTCACTTTTTTCCAATGATAAATTGTGCTGTAATTTTTTTCCCCAATGTATGCAGTCATTTGACCAGTTTCTTTTCTTTGAATTTTATTGCATTAGGCTAAAACATATTGACTTTTCACAAAGGGCGTAGCATCCTCCTAAATATATTTGAGTTGTCTGTTTTTTCCACCTTTGACATTTTAAAGTGTTCCTGTTAAAAATGGCGATTCTGCAAAGAACAGTGTAAAGACCATTTCAATATGGTCATGTCACTGGCCCATGAACATTTCCAGCTTGTTATCAAACTATTTAATAACTGTAACAAGAGGCAGTTTAACAATAACTTAATGTTAAAACCGCTTTCATAACATTTTTGTATTCTCGGAAGCTGTAGAAATAAAAAAATGTAAAAAAAGAAAATATGTTGGGACCATTGTTTTTGTTTACATCCCTTAAAATGGTCTATAAATCACTCATTTTAAATTGTCACCAAATATTTAATTTCTATTCATGAAATAATTTTGTTTTAATTTATAGAATGATTTTTCAGTCATTAATTTCAGGCGTTAATACACCGACAATTTACATAAATATTTGTTTTAATGCCTCAATGCAAATGGAGTTTGAATTGGTTTAACCAAGTAAAACAAAATATGTTTGGGGTATTTAAAAGTCTTTACTACATAAGAGGGACTTATTCCTAAAATTTCAAGCTTTATTTTAGGTTGTAAATATTTGTGGCTAATCAATTAAGTATGAGTATAATTATGTACATCATTTAGATTTGTTTAGATCAGGGGTCTCAAACTCAATTTACCTGGGGGCCGCAGGAGGCAAAGTCTGGGTGAGGCTGGGCCGCATAAGGGATTTCACACAAAAAAGTCCTCAAATGTCATTATTAACAGTTTTAATTATTTCTTCTGAACATGAAGTGTCCTGAACATTAATAGAACATTGAGTGAAGATTATGAACAGTTCTTCTGAACATGGCATCTTTTGCCTATTTCTTGCTGCCAGAGACTTGACAGCGCTTCTTCTCACAAATCTGAACCACATTTGGCTTTAGAGCGGAAGCAGTTGAGACCCTCAGTATGGCTTGAAGATGATCATCATTAAGTCTAGACCTGTACTTTGACTTATTAAAGTCCTAGGGAAAAAAGTGGGGGAACTCACTCAACTTACATTCCCTCACCTAAAAAAAGGTATATATATATGTATAAATAAAACACCCCCACCCCACTCCAGTCACATCAGTCTGTACCAGTCTGTATCTACCTATGATATAAGATGCAGGGCAGGCACGTGCACACATAGGGCTCAACCTTTGCAGAGCACATGCCCTTTTTAGTCTTGCATAGAAAGTGCCCTTCCAAAATGATCAAAAGTGCCCCCGTGACGCGACACACCCTCGGTCCCGCCCTTCAGTAGGTGCGCGATAACACCGCTGATGAGAACGCGCGCGACAACACGGCGGGCGGGGAATGCCAGTGACCGCTGTGTATGGATAGAATCAGCGGAGCGGGGAGTGCTCTCTCTCCCCGCTCCGCTGATTCTGTCAGTGTACAGCGGTCGGCGCGGGCCACAAAATATTGCACTGAGGGCCGCGAGTTTGAGACCCCTGGTTTAGAGGTTTGTTATTTGTTACAGTAACACATGTGTTTTGGGACAGGTTTGTACCATTTACAGCTTGTTAAGTGATTAAAATGTCTTTCAGGTTTTTTTTTATAATTGTATAAAGATGAGTAACTTGTTTAATGAGGAAATCATCTTCCTGTAATAACAGTTCCTCTTGTCATGCTATTTGGACCTCATAAGACGTTTCTGCATTATCATTTCAGCAGCTGGAGGTCCAGACAGTCCAGACTCTGGACCCGTGGAGCCTCTTCCCAACACCACTGACCAGACAGATCAGACCGAACAGACCACTCTGGTGCCCAATGAGGATGAAGCTTTCGCTCTTGAGCCCATCGACATCACTGGTAAAAATAAACAATAAATTAATTTAAAAAAATGTAATATCATAATTTTACAACTTCAATCCATTGAGCTCTTGTCTACCTGTTATTTTCATTTCTTGTTATAGCAGTTTCTTTTATTAGTTCAAATAAAATGAGCTTTATTATAACTAAGATTAAGAACAGCATTGTGACATAGACCTTAAAGCAACAGTTTGTTTTTTTGAAAATAGGCTAATTTTACTAGTCTCCTTGTGTTGTAAAAGTTGAGTTTTACCTTTTTATAATCCATTCAGATGGTCTCCCGGTCTGGTGGAAGCACTGTTAGTTTAACTTAACATTAAATCACCAAGGACTAGAAATGCACCATTACCGTTTTTTTTCAAACCAATCCGATCTCAATACCAAAATTCTGAGTATCAACCGATACAGATCTGATGCCGATACGGTGTTGTTATGTTTGTTTGTTTTTTTCTAAGCGTAATACAGTTTCTTTAGCTCTGGTGCTAAACTAAAATTATTTATCTTCTTTAGTAAAAATAAAAGACCTAAAGGCCTACTGTATATGACAGACGGCACAGTCTAACTAAAAATATGATGCTTGCTGTAAACTAGGCTACAATGTTTGAGCATTCGTTATGACGTTGATCTTTTGTGGTCGAACTTGTTTCCTTTTTTAATCTAAAAATTTTTCTTTGAAATCTGTAATAGGCGACCACTATTAACGCTAATTGTTGGTAAAAAATATTTTTTTGATATTTAGATAAACTAAACTGTCTGAGGCCAGTTTTACTTAATCCCTCACCAAATCAGTGCGTTGGGCATCTCTCCAATGTATTATTGATCCTTTTTATTTAAAAATTTCAGGTAGGCCCACTTTGAGTGTAAAGAGCAGGTAATAACTAGGGCCAGACGGAATCTGCAGACATTTTTTGCCATTTCTGTGCAAAATTTTATAAAAAATCTGCTGATTTATGCGGAATGATTTTGGAAGTATCATAACTAAAATTTTAATATATGAAATAAAAAGTAATACCTTTTTAACTTGTATTTAATGTTTACAATGCAAGTTCATCTAGATTCACTTTATTTGGTAAACAAAGCAAGTCTCTCATATAATATCTCTACTAAAAGGCAGAAAATATTATTTTACAAACCGCATTGTAAATAAATCAAATAATTATTTTCATATTAGTCAATATTTTTACTGAAATTAATTTAAAAACAGAATAAATATAAATTTACACACATTTACACAAGTAAATAAATAGACTCGATAATCGGCTAACAATATGCGGAATTCTGCAGGCGCAGATTCTGTGTGGGCCTTATAATAACCTTTTCATCTCCAGTGTTGCGAATGCGATCTGCTGGTCTAACAGACACAGCGCAACATGATTTAGAAACAGCAGTGAACTCCTTGTTGCAGGTCAAAATGAAGCCATTTAATGTTAAACTAAATGCATTTCTCCACTGATTATTTAAAATAACTAGAACAAATAATCTGGCTATTCAGACTGGCTGATACCTGATCCAGCAAAAATATCTGGTATCGAACCGATATCCAATCCAGGTATTCACTAATATAAATATGAACTCTGCTGAAGTTAAATTGTGTATGGAGACAATGAAAATTGCTGTTTTCTAGGCAAATATGGCTAGGAACTATACTTTCGTGCTGGCGTAATGATCAAGTAACTTTGCGGCTGTTCCATGGCTGCAGCAGGTGTAATGATTTACAAAAGAATATATAGATTTTTAAAAAGTTGAGTTTTTTTTTTGTTTAATTGAGTTCACTCTGGTGTTAAATAGATCTTAAAAAGTAAATTTTGTGAAACTTGCAAAAACCCTGAAACAAATCTCAGCCTCAAAGCCTGTTGATATGCTGTTTTATGCATTGTATTATGCGTCCTCAGTGAAAGAGACCAAGGCTAAGAGAAAGAGGAAGCTCATCGTCGACAGCCTGAAGGAGTTGGACAGCAAGACCATCCGTGCCCAGCTGAGTGATTACTCTGATATCGTCACCACGCTGGATTTGGCTCCTCCAACCAAAAAGCTGATGATGTGGAAGGAGACTGGAGGTGTGGAGAAGCTCTTCTCATTGCCTGCTCAGCCTCTCTGGAACGGCCGTCTGCTTAAGGTGAGGGTTGATCTGATGTCACTTTAACGTTGGTATGTTTAAGCACAAGGCTGGAATAAAGCGAATTGTGTGTGTGTGTGTGTGTGTGTGTGTGTGTGTGTGTGTGTGTGTTTTAGATGTTTACTCGATGCTTGACTCCACTGGTGCCTGATGAGCTGAGGAAGAGGAGAAAGGGAGGAGAAGCCGACAGCCTTGAGGACTTCCTGAAGGAGCTGGAGAACCCAGAAGTGCCCAGAGAGGAGGTGCTGGGTCACAGGAGCGACGTTATCGGTAAGCTGATACAAAACAACTGATGTAGCTTAAAACAAGTGATGGACGCCCATGTAAAAGTTAACCCTTAAAGACCTAGAGGTATTTTGTGGGCACCTAATGGGCCTATATTATTATTTATTTTAAAAGCAGTTTTATTTTTATTTTAGCAGTCAGCCTCAAGTGTCATATATCATTTTAAACAGGAGAACCTGAAGTTTCAATCTGTATCATTTAAAGGTCCAGTCTAAAATATTTTTTGGTCCAAAAACATATGAACAGACAGAAAATATTCCAGAATTTTCCAGAAACGATTTTTAAAAAAAGTGTCATTTTCTAGTTATTTCAAACAAAACCTTATGAAGTTTGTTTTTATTTCTTTAGAAATACATGTTATGATGTTTCATACATCCAAAATAAATGTTGTCCACATCCACAACTCCCTGAGCAAGTTATAGCAATTTATTTCAATGTTATTTCAAGGCGTTTTTTTATTGGGGAAAAAATGCATTTATTTACTGACAATGTATTTGCCCAAAAGTTCTAGGAATGAACTAAACAGAAAAAAATGTTACAAAATAATAGAACAGTGAAGCAAATTTGACTTTTTCCAAATAATATATTTTCAGTTACTATAAACAACACCACTTACAATGAACAATTAAAAAAATAAGAAAATAATAAATAATGCGTCAAAGTCCAAATAAACATGGTGCAAATCCTAAGTAGAAAAATAGATATAAATATTTACTATCCTATAAATAGTTACATAACGAAACTAGATTCAATATGGAACATCCTTAGGTTTCATGTGCCAGCATGGATATGGTTGTCTGTGGATATGGATTTAGATATGGTTGTCTGCAGTGCAGACAAACAGCTGCACTTTCATTTGCGTCTTTTGAAAACAGCAAGAGCAGCAGTTCGTCTTTGCTGTGTCACTGTTTTGTCATGTTTCTGTGCTGCTGTGCATGCAAAAGTACTTAGTATGAGAATTATTTCATGCAAAACTTTTTTTTTTTTGCGTTTTATTTAGCCGCGCATAAATGTATGCCTATCTCTCATTCCGTGTTGTTCAAAAAGCTCATTGTTGGTCCACAAACAAAAGTGAAACCTATGCTTATTGGTTGTGATATAGCGAGTTTGAACCAATCTGGGCATGGAGGAGAGACAATGCATCAATGTATCATGTCTGGTTTGTCCGGAGACACAATGACGAGCGTTTCTTTGTCAAATCAGCGTTGTCAAATTTTGATGACGTAACCGCACTGATTCCGGAGCCTCTGAAATGTTATGTGATACAGCACTGGAAAGCTGAGATTCTCTTCTTTATGCCAATCTTTGAATTGTATGAATCGGATCAGCGGATCAAAAGTTATTAAACATTTAAGAGCAATACTTATTTTTAGCCGCGGGCGGCTGTCTCGGTCTTTAAGGGTTAAGATACAAAAGCAATTTACCATTATACATTGTTTTCTTCTTAAGCGTTACATGGACCCCACAAAATAAAAAAGATTTAAGTATAAAAATCCATCTTTTATTACTTTGGTTGTTTGTAAACAATTTTATGAAACAGTTTTAAGTTATTTTATGTTTTTAATGTAAAATTTAGAGTTTTTTTTGTATTGTCTGTTATTTATGTATGAAGTTGTTGTGTATCGTTATGTATTTTTGTCTGTATTGATGAAATAACCATACATAAGTTGCTGATGTGATAAACAAATGACTAACAGTACAGTACTGCAGTGACAGGATAATGTGCTATATAATATTAATTTTAAAATTACAAACTAAAAGATATAATGATTTAACAAAATAGGCAATTGGAAAAGCATGCAAATAAGTAAATATGAAGTATAAATAAGTCAAAAGGTTTGCTATATACACGTGTAAATGTTAAACTGCTGTGCAAAATTCAGCAGAGAAAGGATCATTGTGCAAACAGATCATTGTGCTGCTGTATTATGGGAAAAATCATAATCACGATTATTTTGGTCATAATTGTAATCAAGATTTTTCAAAGCGATCATCAGTTCAAGTTCAAATGATTAGCCCTCCTGTGGAATTTTTTTCATATATAAATATTTCCCAAATGATGTTTAACAGAAGAATTTTCACAGTATTTCCTATAATATTTTTTCTTCTGGAGAAAGGCTTATTTGTTTTATTTCGGCTAGAATAAAAGCAGGTTTAAATATTTTGAAACTTATTTTAGTAGCTCAATATTATTAGCCCCCTTAAACAATATTTATTTTTGATTGTCTGCAGAAGAATCTACTGTTATACAATGACTTGCCTAATTACCCTAGTTAAGCCTTTGAATGTCACTTTAAGCTGAATACTAGTATCTTGAAAAATATCTAGTCAAATATTATGTGCTGTTATCATGACAAAGATAAAAGAAAATGATTAGAAATTTGGTATTAAATCTGTTGTTTAAAAATGGGTTGAAAAATCTTTTCATTAAACAATATGCGGGGAAAGGATCGCTAATAATTCAGGAGAGCTAATAATTCTAACTTTAACTGTTTATATACAGTTATTTTCCTTCCTGTAAATAAGAAAAGGATAAGAAATAAATACAATCGAATAAAGATATTAAACATAAGCATCTTCAGTCAGAAAAAAAACTTTAGCTACAAAAGTCCTTCAGTCAAGAGCAGTGAGGGATTTTCTCCTTTTGTTGTTTGAGTAATAATAAAAACAGGCGGCAGCAGGAATATTGCTCGCTGTCCCTAAGAATAGTGCAGCTCTGATTTGGTTTCTCTTTCACATGTCTTTTGATTCTCAAATTGTTTGTTTATTACACAAATGAGAGCTAACCTGAATGATCACTAAACACCGCGCTCTGACACAAATGTGCATGTATTTAACCATTGAAGCGCTCATTTAGATGGCGATAGATCTGTGTGCTCTGCTCGTCTCTGAAGAGCGCACACACACAACGGCATCCACCCTTTTGCGCAATCAAAAATACGAATGATTGGAATGTGCATTAATGAATGATGCGCATCCCCTGCTGCAAACGTTACATTACAGCGCATGCATTGTCATTTTCATGTGAAACTGAGCTTTGCAGAGCAACATGTATACAACTGGGTAGGGGGCGGAATATGATGCAATAATCGTTTATCCCGATTAATGTTTTTTCATAATCGTAAGAAGCCGAAATCGAAACCGGCTTTTCAATTAATTGCACAGCCTTGGTATCAAGTGAGATTAACAGGGTTTATACCGTCAAGGAAAACCTGGAAAAGTTGTGGAAATTTGACATGGAAAAACAGAAAAACCCACGAAGTCATGGATATCTGTATACTTAAATATTGGTTAGTTACTGCTAGCACATGCTCTCACATTATTAGTGCTGTGTACGCATTTTTAAAATAAATTTACATAGATTAATATAAATTTCAACTAAATATCTTGTTGCATGTTTTATGATTTGCTATTACACCCCAAGATTTACATGGGCAAAATAAATGAAATAAGGTTTTGGATGGTGGATTTCTCAAGGGAAGCAAAAAGAACTTATGCAACAGATCCCTTTCGATCAACAACCAAATACAGGCACTCAGTTGAAAGTAGTTGAATAAATTTATTATAGATAAATGTAGCAATTTAAATGAGCATCTCTTCAGGGTGACCACAGACCAAAATAACAAACAAAAGAATCTGCAAAGTAAATAAACTAAATAACCTGTAAATCTTTAAAGAAAAACACAGGAAACTTACCTTTCCCCCTGAACATAGTCAAAAGTAATCAAAATAAATAGGCAGATCACCCCTAAAAACTCAAACTCTCAAAAAGTTGCACACATATGTGGACATTTGGACAATAGTAAAGTTTGATCATCAGCCGTAGCGGTAGGAAAATCCAGGAGCCCTCCACTCCCAGCAACAATCACACTAAAAATGAGCACCTCGAACACTGCCGGAAGTTCCCTTTTATAGGTCTCTACAAACAGCAGCCAATCAGAACCATGACAATATTAAAGACAACACAAGAAAGCTGGACAAAGAGAAAAAAAACACATACTATGCGCAACAAAAAAAAATAAATAAATAAATGTTTGTTATAACATATGCTGTAATAAAATGGAATGTGCATTGTTTTTCATGTTATTCACCACATATACATCGACATTACATAAAACATTACGCATTGAAGTTCTGGAAAAGTCATGAAATGTTGGTATTTAAAATTTGTATAAATCCTGTATTGCAGGGTTCACCAAACTTGTTCCTGGAGGGCTGGTGTCCTGCAGATTTTAGCTCCAACCCTAATCAAACACACACGAACAAGCTAATCGAGGTCTTACTGGGTATGCGTGAAACATCCAGGCAGGTGTGTTGAGGCAAGATGGAGCTGAACCCTGCAGGGACACCGGACCTCCAGGACCAGGATTGGTGACCCCTGCTGTATTGAATATTAAGATGGAAAGCATAAAAATAAATTTTATTTGTGTGTGTGTCCTTCAGATCAGACCATCATGGAGGAGCCCAGTATGCTGCAGGCGTCCTCTATGGAGGGCAGCAGAACCGCTCTCGATGAGTCCATGATGCCTCCTCCATCCCGCCAGCGCGGACTCAAGCGCAAGTCACTCGAGACGCTCGAGAAAGATGCAGTTTTGCCTGTAAGTCAATCACAGAATCATGCTGTTTATGTATGGAAGTGTTTGAAACTCTAGCCTAACCATGCACGATTGTGATTCCAGCCAATGGGAGTGTTGGAGCAGACGCTTCAGCCCTTGGATCAGTCTGTGCTTTCCCATCAGCTTGAGATGCCGCAGGTGGAGCTTCCTCCTGAGGACACCACTAACCTCTCTAGACTCATTCCAGAGCTGGATCTGTTGGATGAAAAGAGCAAGGATAAAGACAAGGACGACAGCGACGAAGAGGTGAGGAGTTTACATACATTTACATGTAGTCATTTAGCAGTCTTGCAATCGAGGAGCGATTCAACAAGAAGAGGCAATGCACTTGTTAAAGGGCCATGAAACCCCCTCGTTTCAGCAGGGTGTTTTAAAACCTCTACTTTGGAAAAAGTCAGAAAAGTGGGCATGTCCAGCTCTGTTTAGGGGGGAGTGTCGGAGGAAGAAAAGCGGCTTGGTATGGGAGTGTCTATTTGGGCGCGCTGAATTTCAGAGTCAAAACACACACCCACAGCGGACAATGTGACTGTGTTTACATGGACATCTGTTGTCGAATTATTTGCCAAATTATTAAATGGTGGGCTTTAACTGCAGTTTGGCTCTTTCATTCAGGGAATTCATTAATGTCCCTCCCGACAAACGTGATATTTGATTCGAGGCGCTGCTCTAAGTGTGTATTTTTCATGCAATGTTTGATACCGCACGGCGAATGAGAGAAAAAAAAAACTCAGCATTTCCCGGAAACTTAGATGCACACGGCAGGTAGCGTCAGAAAGCCGCATGTGTTATTCCGGTCACAAAATCCAACACGAGGTTATAGTTTAGTTGTAACTGTTAGTGCTAACTATTGCACTCGGTGCAATAGTTTGTTTGATACGAATAAAATACGAACTGAATAAACAAAGAGCACTGGTCGCTCACTTACCAAATCTGTAGAGACAGGACAATCACCAGCAACTAGAGCCGCGTCTTTATTTAGAGGAGACTACAATCTGGATCTCAGCGTTTGCAGATGAGAACAGCTCTCAGGTAAACAATAATCCTTCTTAGACACGTAAGTTATTGTTGTCGCGCGTCGCGTACACTGTTAATCCACGCGTGAGTCTGCGCTCTCACAGAGAGAAAATGAAAACGAAACTTAACGGCAGCAAACTATAAAAGCAACACTTCACGCTTGTTTTGCCAACACAACGTGGTGTCTTTGCCGTCTACACTGTGACAGTAATGAATATTAATGAAGTTGCACAAAAGAGCGCGCTGATTGGTTTGAACCAAGCCTTACTCGTGCATTAATGCAACACACTGTAAGACGTAATAAGACTCACTCTGGCACAGACGTCCAGTCTGCACGCTGGAATACACGCTATTATGTCATGACCGTGACGCAGCTTCAAAAATTCGTTTCAAACAGGAAGTACGAATTTGCTTGAAATAACGCAAAAACAACCAATTTACACTTTTTAGTGAAATATAGGTGTCTTAATAGTGTTTTTAGCAGTGTGGGACACATATACGACTGTCAACAGCTCAAAAAATGTGTTTTGGTGTTTCGTGACCCTTTAAGTGTGACGTCATGCGAAGTGGCCTCCGCCTTCAAGCGCTCTGTCAAACTGTATGGCGAGACTTAAGAAATGCTAATTACTAAACATTTACGAAGCGCTGCAATACTTTCGAAAATCACAATCGCAATATACCCATGCCTAATATCTGATGGCTGGAAAGTGATTCATCTTTTTATAAATTGTTCAAATATTGGTGTCTGATGCAGCAAGTCCAGAGACTGTTGTGGACACCATGATTTCATATAAAATTCACTTTATTGTGTATTCATTGTTGCTCTTATAGTTGTGTAAATTGCTTCCTTGTCCTCAGTTGTAAGTCGCTTTGGATAAAAGCTTCTGCTAAATGACTAAATGTAAATGTGATATGACTAAAAAGGAACGAATAGTAAACAAATGGTTTCTTAATTCAAACGAGTAGCAGCTTGGACCCGGAAACGGTATTCCATACGTCTCGACTTAACAAGCAGATACACAAGATGTGCTAATTATACAGAGCAACTGTTAGTACTCTGAGAATCTAGCATTAGAGTAGGGAGTGGTGATGTTTTATTTTTTAAGAGAGAGAAGAGCGTTTCTACAGGTAGGATAGTCAAGAAACACTCGCCTGTGTAAAGCACAGGTCAATACACAATGTTTTTTTTTTTTTTGACAAACACCTACCGAACACTTTATTAGGTACACCTGTCTAACTGTGCGTTAACACAAACTTCTAATCAGTCAATCACATGGCAGTACCTCAATGCTTTTAGGCATGTAGACATGATCAAGATGATCTGCTGCCGTTCAAACCAAGCATCAGAATGGGGAATAAAGGGCATTTAAGTGACTTTGAACGTGGCATGGTTGTTGGTGTCAGACAGACTTGTCGGAGTGTTTCAGAAACTGTCCTTTGATTTTGGTTTGTTATTATGTATAAATTATTAAATGCAACTCACCTTTGTTTTTTCTTTGTCTCTTTCTTAATGCTGTTTTGACCCAGTAATTGTCCAGTAATAAATGGAGTTTGTTTGAATCAACAGGGTGAGGAAGGACAGGGAGGAGATCAGGACCAAGAGGAGAGAAGGTGGAACAAGAGAACTCAGCAGATGCTTCACGGTCTGCAGGTTAGTATTCAAGCCATCAATCAGCATTATTCACATTCGAAACTAACGTTTTTATTTGCGTAATATATATAAGGGCTGTGTGTGGGTGCGTGTGTACACACACACACACACACACACGGTTTGCTTAAGATTATCATGCCATCGATTCGGTTCAATTCGATATCTCAGTGCATTGATGACACTTTTCACACAAAATTAGATTTTTTTTCTTCACAACACAAGAAATTTTTTTTACTAATATATTAATATTTATATATTATTTGTAATGCAATATTGTCCTTTAATACAAGCAGTTGGATATATGAACTGTACCTTTAATTTGACCTGCTCAAAGAAAAAACTCTATGAATGTTTTATAAATACTCCAATACATGCACAGAAGACAACATGAGCATTTATAGCAGGGGTCACCAACCTTTTTGAAACCGAGAGCTTCTTTTTGGGTACCGATTAATGTGAAGGGCTACCAGTTTGATGCACACTTAAAGAGCCCATATTATACATGAAATAGGGTCATATCTTGGTTGTAAGGGTCTCCAACAACAGTTTAATATGCATGCAAGGTCAAAAAACACTTTCATGGTCTTATAATCTGCATTTATTTTTACCTAATTATCCCAGCGACTCCTGTATGAATCGTCCAGTGATTCATTTGTTCCCAAACCCCTCCTTAGCGCGAAGCTAATCTGCGCTGATTGGACCGATGACAGTCTGTTGCGATTGGTCGACTGCCTTCAGTCAGAGAATGAAATGCCAAACAGCTAATCAGCAATATAAAAGTAATCACAGTTCATACACGCTCGATAGTGTAGGCGTGGAGTTTAGCTGCCAGTGGGTCAATGTAAATACAGACTATGGACTTGAAAATACAGACGACTGACTATTTTATTGAGCAAAAACTCCAAAAACAGTTGAGGAGATCTCCTAGCTTCTCACTCTGCTCTTTTCACAGACACACACACACACATACGCACTTAACCCTGCTCCGGACGACAACGCGCGCGCACACACACACACACACACCTCCGGACGACAGCGCGCGCACGCACACACAGACACACACACTAACGTTACTCCCCGTCCACGGAGCTCCGTTAACGCAGCACGCGTCGCGTTTTTAACGTGACTTTGCACACGATAAGAGAATATAGCCAGTTAACCTGATACAGTACACGCGGTTACAAGTAACAAATCACAACTAAATACATTTGCAAGCCAGAGTCAACGAGGCAACTTTAATCGCACGTACTTACACTTGAGAAATAGAGGAAGAAACCCATCCTGACGTCTATCAGTAAGTTACTGATCCTTCCTTTAACAAACGCTGATGAAGTATTCTTTGTAGCATGTAGCTTCCAGAAGTTTCCAGTAGTTTCCAACTGCTTGGCTATAATGCTGAGGTTTCATCTTTGGGTAGAGACTCAATATATCCATCTGCAGTGTGACTTCAATCGACCGGCATGTTTGTGTGTGTGTGTGTGTGTGTGTTTGTGGGTGTGTGTGTGTGTGTGTGTCTCGGTTTCTGCGTCAGAGGGCGGGGCCTCAGGTTTGAAATCTCCCGGGTTTGCGCGTGCACGTGAATAACTTGGTTTCGTTCGTACGTCATGGCGAAACACCTAATGAATCCGTATCAAGGCGACTCGTTTGAAGCACTATGAGTCGACTCTTTTTTAGATGAATCAACCGTTTTTAACACTGTACACTAACAGATTTAAGCCTTAGCTGGATACTCCACTTCACTTAGAGCTGTGTTACACACTACATGGAGGGGAATTTTCAAAAACCCATAATATGGGCTCTTTAAATAACAAATTTGCTCAATTTACTTTTATATGTTATTATTAATAATTAATGATATTCATCTATGTGAAGACACTGATCTTGTTAATGATTTCTCACAATCGTTGTCAACAATGATTTAACAAGGTAGGAAACAGATAAATATCAATATGCAGCATGTCATTTGTCTGAAATAGTTTTTTATTTACAGTACAACTTCGTGTCATTTTCAGTTTTACACCAATGCAAGTGGGATTTAAAAAGTATTTTATCGTAAAGTAAAAAAGGGTAAAAATATTAGATTTTGATGCTCAGGTTTCTGGTAAATGCACCCCTAATATAAATATATAAGTGCTGTCAATCGATTAATAAAAGTAACTAAATTGCACTTTTTTTTTTTTGTAATTAATTACAATTAAAAGACTGAAACTTGTAATTTTGGCTATTCAAATGTAAAATTCATGTAAACGCAAGACAAAAACTATTTAAATTCAAAATATAATTGTTTATTAGAATTTTTGTTTAACTTGTAACAGATTTCTTCATGTAAACAACATACCCAGAATAAATCATCATGATCCTGGCTTGACAGCCATTACAGAAATTAAAACACAGGCATGTTAATGCCATTTGAATTTTAAAACAATCAATGCCAATAAATAAAAAAAATATTTCCGAGTTGGATTCTAAGCGGACCGCAAAAAAAAAAAAAAGCCAAAATTTAGGCATTGCGGACATGGAAAATGGAAAATTTTAATAACAATAAAGTATTGAATACAAACAATTGCACTCATTGTAGAGTTGTATTGCTGTAAGTTGACAACATTAATTATAAAGTAGAAGCAATTTTGCTCAGTCCTCCTTTACATTCAGCCAGTTGCTAAAACAGTCCAGACATTGTCCGTGGGACAATGTGGACCTTTTCTTTTGAATGATGTGAGCTGAGAGTGAGAACAGGCAGGATCGCTGAATCAGCATATGCATTTCGGTGTCTAATTTTGTTGCCATCGTAAGAAGCATCAAGCGGTCTGTCAAAGGCACCCACAGGTACCTTTAGAGTCACACCAAAGACTAATTCTTACAGGGACTTTGGTCACACCATCTCTAAACATTTAAACAACTTTGAGGGATATTGACAACAATGCTTAGGTATTTATTCTTGTTGCTAGGAAACGCACGCACACCCACACACACAGGACAGGGCAGCTGGAGCTTCTGCCTTCAAATTCAAAACACATGATCGCGTTCATCAAATTTGCCTAAACTAAGCTTTCTAAAGTATGGCTGTATTTCACAAGGATTCTGACAAATCAACATGAAGCAGACGCTTTACAAAAGTTGAGTTTAAGGGGGAAACGCGTCAAACTTAATGTAACATTTGAGGGCGCATGCAAAGGCATAGGAATGCACTGGTCATGACAGTTTGCGACATTATTTGGCACTTTCACTAAAACATTCACAAGGACACCAATACTCTGATTTTAATATGATTAAGATAACACTCTTATTAAGAGTCGACCATGCTATTTTTGATTACCTTAAAGGACCACCGAGTCACGAAATGCTGAGGTTTTTCTTTCCGTTTGCCATGCCGTATCAAGTTCCATTAAAACAGAAGTCGAAAGCTAAAAATGAAACACCCGAAACTGCATGAGACTCTGGAGAGCCTGGTGATGCGACATTAATTGTTTTATACTGAAACTTGCCTTCAAAAAGTGCTACCTTGATCTTTTCCATATTTCTTTGCATGTTGAACATGTCGACAACAACAGGAAATAATAACTGTAACTTTAACTGTGTTAAATATTTCAAATTAATGTTATTAATTAATGTGTGTTTATATAATATATATCTCTGAAATGCTTTCCCTCTGCTTTGACAGCGCGTGGTGGCTAAAACCGGAGCCCAGTCCATCAGCCTGCTGGAGCTGTGCAGAAACAACAACAAGAAACAGGCTGCGGCCAAGTTTTACAGCTTCCTGGTGCTGAAGAAGCAGCAGGCCATCGACCTGACGCAGACCGAGCCCTACAGTGACATCATCGCCGCGCCGGGACCACGCTTCCACATTGTATAGACGCAGACCCTCGGTTTTGTTTTTAGTAGTTGTATTTAACTCGGTTGTTTTTGCTACTGTTGCTTTTGTATCAGTTTTTTTGTCCTTTGGGGCCAATTTTAAAAGGTTTCAAGTCAAACCCAATAGATCATGAAGACATTATACCTGCATAGTGAGATGTTCTGTTAGTACATGTTGGATCTCCACATCCATTGGGACTCCGCAGTTTCACTACTTGTTGTTTTTCCTCCTACTTGTTCTTATTTCCCCTCATAAGCTTTATCCCAGTAAGTTTTACATTTGTAGTAGTGTTAGTCGTGTACATTTTAAGATTTTCTCCTTTTTTGTTTTTAAATAATGTCACAATTGAGAGGCAAAGGTTTATTTTTGCAAACCCAAGTGGATTTAATAACAATAGTTCAATGTTTTGTATCTCTCTTTTAATGGCAATTATGATTATTAAAGGTTCTTACATACAATTGGAATTTTTATGCACTTGTGATTTCAATTTTGATATTGATTAAAAAGTTTCCTGGTTTCCTCTCGTTTTGAATGGTTCTTCAATTAGTACTTATACCAGGTGTCTCAAACTGCCAGCCGCAAGCCATTTGCGCTCTCCCTCCTGCCTGCAACTGAAGTCAAAAATATAACCAGATTCTGCCCCTGGATCCTTTTTTTTATTTTATTTTTATTTTTATTTTTTTATCACTATCATTGTCATACTGTCACATATAGCCACTTGTGGTTTCTGGACATGTAAAGTACTGTACTACACTCATGGTATCTGCAGGGTCTTAAAATGTCCAGGGTTTCTGCAGGGTCTTAAAATGTCTTAAATCTCAAAATCCAAAATTTAGGCATTTATAAGTCTTAAATTTACTGAAATATTGTGTTGTTGGTCTTAAATCCTTTTTAAACAGGTCTTAATTTTCCTTGGTTCTTGTATTGCTTCCAAATCTGGCCAAGTCTAACAATCCATCTCAATAAAACTTTAAACTTCTTATTTAAAAAAGTCACTTTAACTCTATTTATCAAAATGGTTTAATTCTCTTCCTTACAGTAGTTCTCCATGCATTTACTGCTGAGAACACCGACTTGGACAGATTGTTTTGCATATTAAGTTTAGAATAGTTTTTAGAACTTTTAAAACTTTTGTTCATTTTTTAAATTATTTTAAAGAAAGTTTATGCTGGAAAATAAGTGTATGGATTCAAGTAGAGCTGGCTTGTTTTTCACAACTTTGAAAACATTCAGCTAAGAAACCAAATCCTAAATATTTGAATTTGTATTACTAATGTACTATTGTATTATTAAATTATTAATTTTTTGATACGGCAAATAAAACTCTTTTCCATCTGGCTCATTTGAAAAAAATCCTTAGCCTTATCCCTTTATTTAAAATTGAATTCATAATGGTCTTCAAAATGTCTTAAAGTCTGGGAAACCTGCAGAAACTCTCATGTCAAAAACATTTAGGCCTTAAAATGTCTGAAATTCACCAAAGTATTGTGTTGTGGGTCTTACATAATTTTAAACTGGTATTAATTTGTCTTTGTTTAGCTACCAAGTTTATCCAACACACATCAAATCACCAGCAATACAGCTCAAATAAACTTAAATGTACTTCTATATAATTAATATAACTTGTATGTATGTGTGTGTGTGTGTATATATATATTTATATTAATATTTATTTATTCATATTTAAACTATATTCATATCTAATATTATAACAGTCTACATTTAGTTTTTCAAGAGTTATTTGTTGATGCATTTGAAATATGTGTCCGAGAAATAATTAACTATAGAATTAGTTTTTGATGGGGGCAACTACATGTTATTTCTCCTGGCCAATTTATAAAATCCTTAGCGTTTAGTCCAGTATAAGTCTGAAACTTCATTTTTCATGCTCTTAAAAAGTCTTTCAGAAACCCTGCACACTGTAAAACCCAGCAGTCAACTTGATCAAATGAAATGAGTGTGGTTAACTCTATTGACTGAAAGGTAATTCTACTCATTTGAAAAGAGTTTTGAACTCAGCGTTGAAGATAATGAGTTAATTAAATACCTCATTACTTCAACTTAAATGAAGTTTACAGTACTCATAGTCTATTTTTTTTTTAACTCAAATGATTCAAATAGACAAAGAAAAAAGTAAACAAAAGTAGAAATGTGAACACAGGACACAATCTCCTTTCAGATACAGCTTCATTAGACAAAGTCACGATCGACCTGGGAGCAAATTACCAATTATAGATTTAGAAAAAACGTCTGATTGAAATGTAAAGAAAAATGCATTATGACTAAATATTATGACAACTTGTTCAACTTCTTTTATATATATAAATGTATAATATATATGTCAAAAACTTGACATTTTTCTCACCACCCACTAGCCATTTTCACAAGACAAAATTTTGTTGTTGGAAACTGTATTTTATATACTTAAATTTGACTTTTGCATGCTAAAAGTACTTGAGTAAGACATTTTACTTGATTTGGGTCATTAAAATAACTCAATATTATGATGTACACTCTCAGAAAAAAAGGTACAATGAGGGTACAATTTTGTTCCTAGAGGGAACAAAATATAAAATTGTACCTTTAAAGGTCCCATATTGGTCCTTAGGGTACAATTTTGTACCCAAATGAGCTATAAAGGTACAAATGTCCAGATTTAGGTTTGAAAGGTACATTTTTGTACCTTTTATAGCACATTTGGATACAAAATTGTACCATAAAGGACCAATTTGGCACCTTTAAAGGTACAATTATATATTTTGTTTCCCTATAGGAACAAAATTGTACCCTCAGCTCATGATAAGATCAAGACACTATATAACACTAATTTAAATGTATTAATACTAAACATTAATACTAAAATACATAATTTAAAAATATAATAAATAAATAAATTGATTGAATTAAATATTTTAATAATTAATTTTTTTTCATGTATTTAAATTACATTTTTTCTCAAAAATGTTAATAATTTAATTTATAATTAAATGTAATTTTAATCATTAAAAACGTAAATACTGGTCTTTGCTTACTGTTTAAGTCCCTATAGTATATATGAGATGTAGAATAAGAACCATGCAGAGGGACAGCATCTTCATACAGGTGGTGATGTTGCTGTCTCTTTAAGAATTTGGCTTGTTGAGACGTTATAGTAGTGTTTGTTACTGAGGCGGTCGGTCGAGTATGCTGGCTGTTTACACAGAACTTCGCACGCTTTTCAAAGAAAAGTCTATTTTGGAGTCCACACTTTTCAGGTAAGAATGTATTAAAGATATATTTTCAGTCTCATTTTTACATGTGAAGCCGTGTTCTGTTGATTTTGTCTGACTCTCCGGTCTCGGCTTTCCCCCGCTTTGTGCTCCGGGCTGGCTGGTGTAACGTAACGTTACGTTGGCCTGCAGGATGGAGTTTGCTAAGATGTCTGCAGCTTATTAAAGAAGTTAATACAACGTGATATCGAAGTCACCGAGGGACATAACGTTATAGAAGGTAAGTACTATATGCTGTTAGTTTTCTCGGTGTAAAAGTTCCCTTTATCGCCTACGTTACGTATTCGCGCCTTATATGTTACGTTACGTTACTGCTTTATTAATAAGTGTTGCCACGGCGGAATATAATCGCAACCCAGATAGCAAAATACACTTGGGCCAGTTGCGGCTAGATTCTCGCCTGCCCGAGTCCGTCTGCTGTATCGTTACTCGGGCCATATGCGGCGGCAGAAGCGAGCCGACGCTGCCGTAACCGTGCACCGGAATCGGGCCGTGAGTAATGTGCGGTGTGGCCCGGAGCTGGCGCGACTAAAGTCTTCATATACCTTGATATAAAACCTTTTGTTATTAATACTGGAATTTGTAATTATCGATAATGTTTTATATTTTGAGGCCATTTTCTAGCCACGGTTGACCGCGGAAATGTAATTTTAGACGGTTATATACACCGCCATTTTGTGAAGAAAAATCACAATTTTGTCACCGGCAAAGCGACTGATTATGTAAACGTGGCTAGTTACAAACGTGGCGTGTGTATGCTTGTACATATCTTCGTTTCAGTGTCTAAGTTACATTAATGTTGAGGAGTGTCCACAAACTCTCATGTCCAGAATTGTTGGTGCTTTACTATCGTTTAACGTTATACTTATATATATAAATAAAATACTATAAATAAATAGTTATTGCTTTATCTTATTGCTTTCCTGAAGTTTATGAAGTTTCCAATTGTATTTCAGGACAAGATTGAACAACATAATGCAGGCTAACAGCATCAGACCAATGAAGGCATGTCATATGAAAGCATGGCTCAGTTACAAGATGTAAGTATGTCTCATTATCTATACCATGGTTTTAATGGCTTACATACTGTTTTAAATTTGTAGGTTTTTACTTAGAAACAACAATAAATGTACACCCACGCGTTTAAAATTATTTTCTAGGTTTTCATCGAAAGACGAGAGATCAACTGAAGAATGCTATGGTCCTGACTCTAAGGTACTCTTTCTAAACTTTCTCCATTTGATTAATATTATTAAATTCTAGCTTTAGATGGATTCCTTCATATTTGTTTGTATGCCACATTTTATGTTCCAGGAATTGATTTTACAGCAGCACTTCTCATGTTGCCAGCCTTGTTAAGCGAGACACTTCAACATTTCGTTGTGCTCCGGTGCGTATGTTGTTTTCTGTTTAGTATATGCTGTGATAAATGCATTTTATAATGCTTGATATTCTTTATATTAGGATGATGCAGTGGGTAGTGCTGTCACCTTACAGCAAGAAGGTCGCTGGTTCGAGCCTCGGCTGGGTCAGTTGGCATTTGTGTGAGGAGTTTGCATATTCTTCCAGTGTTCGTGAGGGTTTCCTCCAAGTGCTCCGGTTTCCCCACAAGTCCAAAGACATGCGCTATAGCTGAATTTGGTAAGCTTATTTGTCTGTAGTGTATAATTGTGTGTGTGAATAAGTGTGTCTGGATGTTTCGTAATACTGGGTTGCAGCTAGAAGGGCATCTGCTGCATAAAACATATGCTGGATAAGTTGGTGGTTCATTCCACTGTGGCGACCCCAGATTAATAAAGGGACTAAGCCAAAAAGAAATTGAATGAATGAATGAAATTTATATTAGTCTTTTAATCTGTGATACTTTTTTTTTTTTAAATCGGTGAATATTAATTATTTTACTTTCTATGCATGTTGATTTTCTCTTCATCAGTGATAGAGTGACTGATATTAATGTAATTATTGCTTGTCATTTACAGTGAATCATCTTCACCACATCCAACAGTTCAAGTACAGGAGGACACCACCGACTGGACAACTGTGTTAACAAGACGAGTCACGTCAGTCTTCAGAGTTGATGGGATTGCGATTGGCCGGGCTAATGGTGTGGACGAATATACATTTTTGACATATCCATCTTATTAGAAGAACACCTTGATGTTTCTGCTGTGGAATGTTTTGAATGAACGGTGGACGGTGACAAGCCTCGATCTACTCCAGTTACCAGAGTGATCAACCTTGTTTTTTGT